TGAGGGTCCCCCGCCTGAGCTCGACGCGCTTCCCGCACCCCAACCAATGGCCGCAGAAGGCCAGCCCAAGAGGATCAGGGCCTGCTATTGAAGCCCCTAGAAGGGCATGGCATGCCAGGTGATCAGGTGGCCCCAAGCTAGAGACCTATGTGCCCCATGGCAGGCTCCGATCACCTGACCCATGGCAAGCTCTGATTGAAAGGAAATGTGCCCCCGGGCCTAAAGTCGGTAACTCCCAGACGAGTTCTCCAACCCCTCACTCGGGGCAGAGACCTATGCGACATAGGGCCAGAGGAGGGGTCACCACCACTACCACTCATCCTCGATAGCTAAGCACCCCCATTACACTTGGGGATAGGGCCCCATCGCAGGGCATCGCACTCTCATCAGTGGAAGTCATCCCTGCCATGGCTAGCTCGGTCACCAGAAGATCGAATTCAACCCTTCGTCGACATCACAAACCAGGCCAAGTGAGGCCACAAAGGGCTCAGGGGCTCTTAACGAGATCCTAACACATTGGTATGTTAAGCCTCGAGATCAATGGTTCCTGACTGAAGAGACCCCAAACCGACCCCTCAAGGATCGCCCGAGGGTTATACCCTTTGGGTATGCTCACGCGCACCCTCAGACTAAGAAACATGGCCGAGCCTAAGCACGCTGTGGCCTCTACTCAGAGCTCGGGGGCTTGCCCGAGCCTCAGGCTCCTGATTGACGGCAACCTGAGCCTAGCCCATGGCTCCTGCCCGACCTACGACACCAGCCAAGGCTCAGGCACTAGAAGACACGCCCCGAGCCGTTGGGGCTCGGGGCTCCACGACATAGCACTTTGGGCCTTGCCGGCCGCTCCCTCGATAGGGGCGTGACACAAGAAGACAAGCTCTCCTCGGCCTTCGAGGGCTCGGGGGCTTTTGGGCCCGCGCGTTAGCCCCTAGAGCCGACCTCTCTCGCCACCAAGAAGACTCCAGAAGGTGTGCCTGGGGGAGGCCGATCCAAGCCGACATAGCCTGACACTCAGTGTATCAGAATAGGCCAGCCGGACGACGCCCAGGGCTTCTTCGGCTTCACGACACCGCCACTGTCCACAGAGCGCCACTGCAATACCCTCCTGGACTCTGGCGCATGTAGACCATAGGCTAAACACCCCAAACCGCCATGTACCCGACCTATCTCGATATATAAGGGATAAGGTCAGATCCTAGAGGAGGGAGGATGATCCTAGACAGATCATTCAATTCCACATTGATTCGCTCCTGCTCGGTACCGAGAGCAGAGCAACCCAGAGAGGGGCACCGAGAGCTCCTCCACCGCACCCGTCGTCTTCCTCCTCTTTGACGAGTGGAAGGCTCCACCGACAGTGAGGCAACCTCAAGATTAGCACCGAGCTAACCCCCTACCAAATCTCTCTCTACCTCCTGTACACTCTGTTGTAAACCCTCGATTTTAGGTGCTCTTTAGTATAAGGATCATCGGCTGCTGGACGTAGGGCATGGATCGACCCGAACCAGGATAAACCGTTGCATCCTCTTTATGATTCTTGTGTTCTTGAGTCCATCCAAGCCACTAGAGACATGTACTCTGACACCAACTCAAACAACAATGCTTGTCGCGGTTCCGACCTCGCAACACTGCCCCACGCGCCAACTGAACTGAATGGTAGCTCAGTGGTAACACTATTGTTAGGCACTCGAGCCGTGCGAGTAGCGCGGAACAGCATTGGGCCAGTGTGTCCTGATTTAGTAGTAATAAAGGATCAGAGTAGCAAGTTTACTTTTGCAGCCTTGTTGAGGAGGAGAGCTATCGCTAGAATCTTCTAAGAAGTTTGGGAGTCTTGATTTATAAGGTTTGGAAATTTTTTGATTGGGGATCCATTTCATGGTATGAGTTGCAAGAATTTAGATGTGTGATATACATTCTCGCATGCCTTCTCTTTGTTTTATAGGACCTTTTTATTTTTAATCCTTTTTTATTCAATATTTTAATAATAATCACTTCTACAAATATTTTGTGGAGGTTACCCTTTTGGTCGCGCTAGTCCCGCTGGCATGACCAAATAACGTTGTCGCACCACATGCATTGGCATGACAACCTCTGTCACGTTAGACAATGTTTTCGACGTGGAAAATCTTGTTGCGCCACTCCCGCTGGCGTGACGGTATTCTTCTGTCGCGTCACCGGGAGTGGCGTGACAAGACTGAAACGTTGAAAAATAATAACTCTTTAATATGATGTTGAATGACGATGAAATTTATATGGAAATTGTAGCTCTTGACGAGATCTACAACTTTCTAGTTTTGAGTTTTTTTATTTGAGAATGTTAAGATGCTCAAAAAATTAATATAAAATTTTAGGACCATAATAATCGTGTACTAGTGCTTGTCGCATTAGAAAAATAATATCTTCTTTGTATATTGTCAAATAAAGATACTTTTTACATCAAAGTTGTAGCTCTTAATTAGATCTACAACTTTATAGTTTTTAGTTTTTATATTTGAGGTCGTTAAGATGCATGAAAAAATAATATAAAATATCAGCAGCTTAATAATCGCATACTAGCGTTTATCGCATTAGAAAAATAATATCGTTTTTGTAGGATGCCAAATGTAGATACATTTTATATCAAAGTTGTAGCTCGTAACGAGATCGACAGGTTTCATTAAAAAGGTATTTTTATGCGATATCAAATAAGAAATATATGATTTTACTAAAAAGATAAGCTTTGAAACATGATTAATATGCTATTAAATTTTGTATTAATTTTTTGGGTATCTTAACTATCTCAAATAAAAAACCTCAAAATTAAAAAGTTGTTGATCTCATAGTTAGCTACAACTTTAGTATAAAAAGTATCTTCATTTGACACCAAACATGAAAAAATATAATTTTAGTAAAGCGACAAGACCTAGTGCATGATTATTAAGCTGTTGAAATTTTATATTATTTTTTCGTGCATCTTAACAACCTCAAATATAAAAACTATAAAGTTATAGATCTAATTTAGAGCTACAACTTTGATGTAAAAAGTATCTTTATTTAACAACATAAAAAATATATTATTTTTCTAATGCAACAAGCAATAGCACACGATTATTATGGTCCTAAAATTTTATATTAATTTTTTGATCATTTTAACGTCCTTAAACAAAAAAACGTAAAACTAGAGAGTTGTAGATCTCATTGAGAGCTATAATTTTCATATAAATTTTATCTTCATCCAACGTCACATTAAAGAGTTATGATTTTTAAAATTTTTAGTCTTGTCACGCCACCCCGGTGGCACGACAGAACCAATATGTCACGCCAGCAAGAGTGGCATGACAAGGTTTTCTACGTCGAAAACATCGTCTGACGTTGCACATCTTGTCGCGCTAACGCATGTGGCGCGACAGCGTTATTTGGTTACGCTAGTGAGCCGAAAGGGTTAGATTTGGAGAAAAAAATTGAAGCTGTTATTATTAAAATATTAAATAAAAAATGATTAAAATATAAAAATTCTCTCGTCTTCGGGCGAGCTGGGATGCGGCACACAGGCAACGGCCTAGGCAGGTGAGCTAGATGCTACACACAGACAACAGCGTAGGCGTGTGATCTGGGATGCTGGCAACGGCCACCTCCCAACGGCTCCCTACAACTTCCCAACCGTTACCTATTTTCTATTCCTCTATATATATAGTGTCCCAAGTATTGTTACATATTTCTTGTGGCCAGTCCATATGAATATGGGGTACTTTTATCATTATTGCTATAAAGTTTATTTACACATGTATAATGTGAGGCTATAGGGCTCCATTAAATTTATATAGACCACTTTTGTGGTATATTGTGAATGCACGGATACCACCATTTGTGTGGACTCCTATAGAAGAAGGCCTGGTCTATTACTATTTCGTTCGTCCCTCCACTCCGCAGTCAGTCAGTCCTCTACTCCGAAGCCGTTCAGTCCTTCTTTTCATGATGCAATAGCCATCCTCTACTCCGTAGCCGTTTTCAGTTGCGCAATTGCACGGTAAGTAAACAGGTGATGTATTTTCTTTTTCTGATTTCATCCGGACAAAGGAAAGGAAAAAACTTTAAAAAAAAAGAGCTTGTCTAGCCAACAACCGGTTGTTTTATCTCTCTCAACGACTAGATTTTTTATTATGCACTTACACTGTCTTATAGCTATATTACACCACTTTATTATTATATTTACAATAATTTTTTCAGTGTAATTTATTGGACAGAGTAACGTAATTTGGGGATGATAGCAGATCTTATATAAATATATGATAATTTTTTTTTAAAACAATTATAAATTATTTATATGAATTGTAGATATCAGAAAAATATATGTCAGATTCTCTCTCCGTATGTGAAAGAATGCAAATCTAGCATTCCAAGGCAACGCTAAGGTAGTGAACAAATAACGCATGTGCCCCTGTAAACATAATTCTCTGCAGCGCACTCACGCTGCCACTCCAGACAGTGGAAATGATTGCACTCAAGACCAAAGTACACAATCAATACAATAAGAATATTTTTTGTTACACCTTGCATGCACAGGCAATTAAAGCATCCATCTTTGGAACTGAATAATGCCAAATAGCTCATGGCTCCCAACAAATTCAAGCTTAATTTAACTTTGAAAAGTCATCCAGCGCCATTTAATCTGGCGCCATTTTCAAGTGGCTACAAGCAAATATTACAAAATTTTAGATGCTGTCATTTACTCCTTCCTTGGCTTATAAAAGCCTGACTGCCTTAGCATCTTTCTTCACCCCCTTCCATTAAACCCATGGCTTTAGATGTGAACAATCCACCACCTAACGAGGGAGAGATCTTACCAGACCTCAACGAGAATATTCTATATCCATGATGCACATCGAGATGATCTTGTTGGAGTTGAGATTACTGGAGGGCAAAACCAAATAATCAGCCCAGGTACTTGTCTCTTCACTTATCTAAGTTATTGGAGTACACCAACCTCACAAAACTCACTGCTCTTGATGAACACCACCTACCAGATGGGGGAAGAGAAGCCATACCAGACCTTAATGTGCAGCCTACACATGATGAAGAGCCTTTCCATGTTTTTTGTTGGAGATGATGACATAGCTACCGGTGACGAAGGTATTAGTGCAGATGAAAATGGCAACTTTGATGTTTATGGTGATCTTTTTTATCTCAACTTACAAGCTTCCTATCAACCAGATCTAGACCATTGTAAGTGTTTTTGTCCGTATGTATTTTCTTCCATAGTTTGCCTATATGCTTTTTTATTACTGTTTAGTAGAAAATACAATGGCTAAGTTAAGATCCTTTCTGAGTCATTGGGTACATACATGCATGCTCAGGAATAAATTCAATGTAGAGTTACTTAATCGAAGGACTATATGACATTGTATTGAAAGCTATAGCACATAATCAGATTGTACTAGACATAATTTATCTCATATTGAAGGTTTATTTGTTGATGAATTAGTGGTTCAATGTGGTAGCATGTCCAATAGAGACTTTAGGATGAAGAATTACATACACAGTACCTCCAACCAGTGCCCACAATGCATGTAGTACCATCTCCAGTAGAGAAGTTCCTACAAAATATACGAATAATGTACATTTAGCTATCAGTTGTTAATAAATTTCACATTCCACAAATTTAGATTACAATGATTAAAAACAAAGTTAAACTAAGGTATCAAACAATAAATGGATGTACATTTGTTTAGTTCTAGATGAATACAATCAACACCTATATTTTTTTTATAGTTAATGATGGCTACATCCCAACCATGGAGGAAATGCATGAGTATGGCATCTATGCCAATGAGGTGGACATCGTCTTTGATCAGGAAGAGTTATCTGACTCCAGTGACGAAGATTATGAACCAGCAAATGAAAATTTTAGGACAAGGTCAAAGGAACTTACTACAGCTCAAAGGCTATGAAGCATTGCTGGAGAAAAGCAACCGAGGAAAACTAAAGAGAAACACTACAACTGAGGTTGTTGAATTATTTAATGTCAATCGACATGCAGTGTGGCGTATTTGGCGACAAGCAAAACAATGTCGTACTAATGGAGTGCCGGTTGATGATAGTTCAAGTCCAAGAATTATGGCAGCAAAAAGGTTGAAATCGACACCTCACAAGTAGAGACCATTCCATTGCATAGAAGGTGTACCATAAGGTCTCTATATCAAGCTCTAGGTATGAAAAAAACCACAGTGCATCAGATGTTCAAAGATGGGTTCCTAAGATGGCACTCCAACTCATTGAAGCCATATTTAAAGGAGGAAAACAAAAAAGGAAGGCTGTGGTGGTGTGTTTTAATGTTAGAGTAATGTACAATGCAAACTGAGCCAAAGTTCAAGGAAATGAAGAACATCATACACCAAGATGAGAAGTGGTTCAATGGAACAAGAAAAGATGTGACCTACTACATGATTCAAGATGAAGAGGACCCACATAGGACTATGTGGAACAAGAATTACATTGAAAAGGTAATGTTCTTCTGTGCAGTAGCCAATCCTCAGTATGATGACGAAGGGAACTGCACATTTGATGGCAAACTAGGCATATGGCCTTTGATAAGAGAGGTACCTGAACTTATGTGCTTTTTTTGCTTCAATTAGTTTCTATGGTTTGCTTTGGAACCCAACATGTTTGTCAATTGGTGTAGGAACCAGCAAAAAGAAGTGGTAACAGACCAAGGGGGACACCAATCAACAAGACAATAAAGGTTGATAGAGTCACAATAAGGTTCTATATGATTACTAAACTCCTACCAACAATTTGAGATCGTTGACCTTGAGATCAATGCCACCAAACTGTTTGGATTCAGCAGGACAATGCCAGCACTCATATCTAGGTTAATGATGAGGAATTTACACGAGCAGTAGCCCACATTGGGCTTGATATCCGCCTCACGAACCAGCCCCCTAACTCCCCTGATATGAATGTCTTAGATCTGGGGTTCTTTGCATCTCTACAATCATTGACATACACAACGATCTCTAACAATATGAATGACTTAATTGCTAATGTTAAGAATGAATATGAAAACTATGACCACAGAGCAATTAGAAATGTCTTCCTAACACTATAAGGTTGCATGATTGAGGTGATGAAGGCCAGTGGAGGGAACAAATACAAGATCCCTCACATGAACAAAGATAGGCTAGAGGCCCTAGGCATGCTTCCAAAGAGCCTTAATTGTGACCGTCAACTATATAAGAGTGTGATGGAGTCCCTAAATGCCTAGTTGCTTAGTGTTTAGAACTCAACATTTTGCTAAATGCAGTGTTAGTGTGCTGCATGTACAAAGGTGTTTGCTGGTAGTGTGCTGCATGTACAAATGTGTTTGCTACTACTATGTTGCATGTACAAAGGTGTTTGCTACTAGTGTGTTGCAAGTACAAACGTGTTTGCTACTAGTGTGATCCCTATGTGTTGTTTAGTGCTTCAAAATGTACATATGTGTTCTTGTTTCAGAATACAGCGAGACCTACTTTTGTAAGGGCATGCTATGTGTTGTATTAGAGAAGAAAAAATTAATCAATGGTTTAATTAGAACTTGTGACCAAACGCAAAAAAATCAGAAGGGAGCCCACATGTTCACAAGTCTTTTAACGTCTTTCGAGAGAAAACTGCACTTCCGCTTTACAACAATGGTTTTGTCTTCCTGTTAAATTGCAATGTGTGTTTGTCATAATCCAACATCAAAGTAGTTAATGTCGTAGAATAATTTGCAACAAAACAACTCATCACAAATACAACTAATTAATGCCACAAGGCTGCTCACCACAAACTAAAGCCAAAATTAAGGTAGTTAATTTAGTAGCATAGTTCACAAGGAAATAACCCCATCATAATTACAACTAAATCCTCAAGGTTGGTCACCACATACTAGATCAGTAGCATAACTCCTACCCAAAAGCCAACATTTTTTCCCTCAAGTTCAAACCAAACCATGCACACCAGCATACCTACATATCATTTCATCATCACACATGACCTACTGATTAACACAAAGCGACACTTCATCATCACAGATATGCACATGACCAACAGATCAACCCAAAAGCAACACCTCATCATCACAAATATGCACATATCACTATGGTTGGAAGCATGCAGGCAAATAAAATTTAAGGATGCTGAGAAAGGTCTCGTGGAAGAGGGGTTCCATCCTGGCAAGATGTACCTTCAAGTGTTGAACCATCTCTGGGTGTAGTTCGTTAGCGACGGCGGTGACATCCCCCATAGGGACGTCCACAACAGCTTGGATCGAGGCAGACACGACGACCGGATTCACGGCCATGGTCATCTTCTCGGCCATGTTGCTGGCTATAGATGCCACCACTGCACGTCCACGGTTGTAGCGCCCACCAACATCACCACCAGGTAGCCCAGCACGTCGACGAAGCTGTTGACGCTCACATCCACGGCCATGTCCATCTTTCGCCTTCGAATCAGGGACATAAAGTCCTACCTCCATGCGGACACCTTCATCTTCCGAGTCAAGGACATGCAACTGGCCGAGGTGATCGACGCGAAGGCGACTACGCCCAATGTTGAGGATGCACTCTGGGCTCCCGTCACCGCCACCGGCCCCACCTTCATGGGTTCCTTCTATCTTGTACCACCATCGCACATCTTGGGGATAGGCACGGAGCTTGTGCCGCCTTCCCCAATCCCATCGCACATGTTGGGGACATCTCCTTCCCCAATCTTGCCGATGGATCTTGGGATTCCATCGCCGCCCCCAAACACAGGGACACACATGGGGTTCCCATCAGTGCTGCCGCCCGCATTGCCACCAACGACCGACACCTTAACTAGGTGCTTGGGGTTCCCATCGCTACTGCTACTGGCCAGCTTCGCACCTCGATGCGTGGAGCGCCTAACCTGTGGATCCAGCTCCCACAGGTGCGAAAAGGGCGGCGTCGAGATCTAGCCATCCCTGTTGACGCATGAGGCCTAAGGATGGAGAAGGGGAAGAGGGAGATGCGACGAAAGATGGAGGAGGTCGTGCGGTCATGCGAGCTGAGGGAGATGCAGCGGAAGATTGGAGGAGGCGGCGCGGTCAATGGAGTTGCGGGCGGTGGAGGAGATTCGAGTGGATGAGGATGACATGCGAGCTGTAGAACGTGTGGTGGTGAGGAAAACGCTGAGGAAGGAGATTTTTTTGGATGGTGAGACCAAGAGACACGGACAACAGCAATTCGGGTCACATTCATAGACCTGTCACCCCTCCATTTGCATTCTTTCACAGACAACGCTCTCCCCTCCGTTTGCATTCTTTCACGGACGAAGGGAGTATCAAATTCACAAATTTCAGAATAAATTCTGCAGAGACGATGACGACAACGACCTACTTCTTGACTTCGCAGGCGTGTGGCGTCTTAGGGCAGTTACAATAATAGTCGTATCGCCAAGCGTGTCAGAAGCTTTGCCAATCCGAAGAAGAGAGGAAACATGACACGAGACTGCTTGGCGCTGCAAAAGTCGACTAGCTGATACATATTCCCATGCAAAAAAAGCTACTGCCTTTGTCTGATGATTAGCGCGAGTGAGATGGATGGTAGGAAAGAGAGTACTATGGAATAGATGAACGGTCGGACCATTTCAGTACTAAAAATTATATATTAAATCAGTTGTAGATAAGTTATTGTATGGTTTGGCTATTGGGACTTGTCTTATAGCCAGACACTTGTCTCAACTATTGAGTATTGACCTTGCTCTTAGGCCAGTTTCAATGCAACGTTTTACGTCATTGTCTTCAATACTACTAGTCTTGGAAACTGGAACATGAAACAACCTCTCTTAGGCCAGTCTCAATGCAAATTTCATGGAGGTTTCATGCACATTAAATAGGGTGCCACAATAGCAGAATTAGAGCTTTTGCATGTATCGAGGAGGAGAGAGAAGGGAAACATTTCATGGGGACGAAACGAGTGAGCGTTGTTTTCAAAACGTTGGAAACCGCGTGGAACCCCCGTTGAGCGAGTTCCTTTCGTTTCATGCCATCTTGTGCGGCCTGCGGCAACTCTGCGCCAGTGGCCGGCGAGCTTGCAGCCAGGTCTTCCCAATGGTGGCGGCCCCTTCTGAGATGGCGGTGGCGTCCGAGACTCAAAAAAGGGGCTGCCACCGTCAGGGAAGACCTGGCCGCAAGCTCGTCGACCGCTAGCGCGGAGTTGCGGTGGCGGCCCCTTTTGAGATGGCGGTCCCTTCTGAGATGGCGGTGGCGTCCGAGACTCGAAAAAGGGGCCGCCACCGTCAGGGAAGACCTGGCCGCAAGCTCGTCGGCCGCTGGCGCGGAGTTGCCGCAGGCCACACAAGATGGCATGAAACGAAAGGAACTCGCTCAGCGGGGGTTCCACGTGGTTTCCAACGTTTTGAAAATAACGCTCACTCGTTTCGTCCCCATGAAATGTTTTCCTTCTCTTTCTTCTTCCATGCAAAAACTCTATTTCTTCTGATATAACACCATATTTAATGTGCATGAAAACCCATAAAATCTACGTGACCGGCCTTAGGCGTAGGTTCGCGGCCTCCCAGGCTCAGGTTCGCAGGCGCGTGGCCTTCCAGGCGCAGGCGGGATCGGCAGTGTGGCCGTGTGTATGGCTGGGGGCTTGGCCACTGCATGCTCGCCATGTGGCGGTGGTTTCGCAAAACGGTGGGCATAGCCAGTGGTTTTTGCAAACTGGCGTGAGAAACGGAGCAAGGGGAATAGGCGCTGCAGGCTGCTGGTTGTCTCGGGCGCCAGGCTCTAGGTGATGGGGCCTGCTGGTCAGTAGCACGGATAAACCAGTTGTTGGGAACTTCTATGTAGCGTTCCTGTAAAAAAACTAGCAATAGCATCGTCTATCTAATTTATCCACAACTTTTTTACGAAAATTTATCCACAATTTGACTGGCTTTGGAAAGTACGACTTTTAATAGACTAGTAGTATCCCAAAATAGGATTTTCAAACCACCGAAATTGGCATATGCAGTGACACCCTAAATAAAGTAGGAACGCCCACTCGTAGATGGGCAACGGGCCGGCCCGGCACGGCACACGCCCATGCCAGGCACGGCCCAACCAAGCACGACACGGCAGGGACCATCGTGCCATCGGGCCGTGTCGCCCTGGGCTTCGTGCCCGGCCGATGGCCCAAGCACGACCTGTTGGGCCGATTTTCGTGCCGGGCTAGCCCGAAAAGCATGCTGCGGTCAACGGGCCGGGCCAGCCCAAGGCCCACAAATGCCGAGAGAGAGAGGGGGAGCAAGAGGGAGGGAAGGGGAGGCCGCGCTGGGGCATGGAGGCGGCGGTCGCTGCCGCTTGAAGCTGAGTGGCCGACCGCCGGTGAGCTCGAAGGTCGAAGTTGGTCGTCTCGCGATGGGGAGTAGAGGATGAGACCAGCCGCCGGCGCAGGGGGCATGGAGGCGGCCACGCTACTCGAGGCCGGCCGCTGGCGTGCTCGAAGCCAGGCACTGCGCGGGGGCGTAGAGGAGGAGGGCTACTGCCGGCGGCAGGCCTGCGCGGTGCGATGAGAGTGGGGAGGAGTGCGGTGCGACCAGGAGTGGGCAGGAGCCGAGGGCGGCGTCGTTGAGTGAGAGGGGCCGGGAGCGCATTGCTGCGACGCTCGGCTCGCAAGTGCGGGCGTGCGGCGCTGGGAGAGGCACGGTGGATTGGGGAAAAGAATTAGGGTTTGGGGGAAGGAGTTGGTGGCCTGGTGGGCTTTTTTTTAGCAAAAGGGTGGTGGGCTCTTAGCAGGCCAGATTGGTTACCGGGCCACCATCAGGCCTCTCACCAAATTACGGGCCGTGCCGGGCCAGCCCGCGTGCCTAGGGTGTGGCCTAGGCATGGCCCTATGTACCGGGCCGTGCCAACCTTGGCCCGCTCGCTACCGGCCCGGGCCGTCGTGCCACGGGCTGCGTGCCCATATATACGCCCCCTACACCTCTCATCTCATCATCCAGAAACGAACCATTTAGGCAACACCGACAGGCAACATGTCGAGGGCTCTCCTGATGGTAGTAGCTTTGGCCGCCGTCCATGGGCTCATGCTCCCCGGCGTCGACGCGACCGTGGCAGCGACATGCCTGGCGGCGTCCAACAGCGACCGGCGCGTGAACTACGACTTCTGCATGTCGGAGCTGAACAAGCACCGCGACAGCCCGGGCGCGGACACCCCGGGCCTGGCCAAGGTGGCGGCCAACGTCGGCGTCAACAGCGCCGGCGGCGCGGTCAACGACATAGAGGCCCTGCTCGCCGCCAAGCAGCCGCCGCCGGACGCCAGGACCAGCGCCACGCTGCGGCTGTGCGAGCAGCTCTACGACGACATGGAGCTCGCCTTCGCGGGGGCCTACGACGAGATCAACGCGCTCAACTACACGGCGGGGAAGCAGATGGCCGCCGACGCCGACTCGCTGGTGCGCCGGTGCACCGGCGGCTTCGCCGAGGCCGGGCTCGTGCCGCCGGAGCCCGTCGCGCGGCCCAGCGCGTACGCCGTGCAGATCGCCATCGTGTGCACGGCCATCACCAACCTCATCATCAGTCCATGATTCAAGCGATGCGTCATGCATGCGTCCAGAATATAATGATGCCCACCAACACCCCCCCCACCCATCATTCCTCTCCAAAATTAATAAATCTTGTATTGTAGACCAAATTAATTGGAAGATTCTTCCACCAGTAAACTACAGAGGTCGTAGATTTTGATTGATTATTTCCTCATCTTTGCTTTCTCTTGTACTAGCACAGATCCCAAATTAGTGAAAGTACATGCGATGGTAAATGAATCCAGCATTACACAAGAAAACATTATATTGGAGTAACCAAGAATTTAAATTTTCCTTTCCAAACACGACCAACAGGGAGGAATATTACAAGTAGGAGTATAGGAATAAAAGAACAAGCTCATTTGTTCTGTTCATCACATAAATCTCGGTCAGTTGTCGTTGTCTTCTTGAATCAAATTCTTCATTACAGAATCTCTACTATAATGGACCAATCAAAATTATATTAGGTTCCCTCGAAAAACGTTCCCCGTTGAGAGCTTTCAATCATTATGCATCAAAAAAAAATACACACAGAAATTCATCTCCATTAAAATCAAGGGCTAATAAAACACCTAAATCAAATCCGATGGCCACGATTCGACGTGGGATGCCAGGCTTCTCACCCCTGCGCCCTACATCCCACGCACGCCGGCTTCAAACGCGCCCCACGCGTGACTCCCCACGCTCCACACAACTCCTTCCTTTATGGCAGACAGGCGTCCATTGGCGGCGGCGGTGTGGAGCGTGGGGAGTCGCGCATGGGGCGCGTTTGAAGCCGGCGTGCATGGGATGTAGGGCGCAGGGGTGAGAAACCTGGCATCCCACGTCGAATCGTGGCCATTGAATTTGATTTAGGTGTTTTATTAGCCCTTGATTTTAATGGAGATGAATTTCTATGTGCATTTTTCGGGGTGCATGATGGTTGGAAGCTCTCAGCGGGGGACATTTTTCGAGGGGACCTAGTATAATTTTAATTGGTCCATTATAATAGAGATAACATCATATACGTACTGGGAACAGGTCGCTTATTTTGTCGCTAATTTTTTAGATAATTTCCAAGTTTTATTTTGGTTCATATTTGTTAGGTGCATTGAGCAAGGCTTAAATTATCAAAGACAGACGTTGCTATCAGGGATATGGTTATGTGTTTTGTAAACAGCCATTTGAAACCTCAAATTTTTCGGATGTCATAATGAATTAGGAATTGACCAGGTTCAACATCCAGGAGCTGACCATATGGCCCTGTTTCTGCAGAAGTATGACATCAAGGTATTTAGAAGCATGCCTTTATTATTTACTTTGTATGCTGTGAAGATCAAACTTATGATGCAAAACTATGCTGGTTTTCACACTGCTCATTGGTTTAAATGGACATATAAATGTGCTTAAATTAGTTCTTCAATTCCATTTCTATTTTGCACTAAATGGTTTTCTAGACATTAGTTACTTTTTCCCACTTGCCAGTCAATAGTGTTGACTTCTACTGATTGAAGGATGGGTACTTCTTTGCATTTTGAGCCTATATTGTACTTAATTTTCTTTTGATTTATGTTTATTTTGTCTCCTAAAACTTTACATAGATTACAAAATTTCGACTGATATTGCATTATTGCCTTTGGATTTTAATGATTTTATCACTGATGCTCTCCGAGGAACCAGTAACTATGTGAAAGCAACATGGAGATAATGCAGGCGGATCGAAGTCGAACTCAGACTGACTATAATTCCTACCAGTAATTACTAGAAGACATGGAGATAAAGCAGATAGATCAAAGTGCAAACCCATAATGTATTCATGTTAGGGATATGGATGAATGGATCCTGTTGAATGCACCTTGGTTGCGAAGCGCCAAGAGATGGGTGCTAGCTAACAACCCTATCATATGCTCGGATGGATTTTTTTCTTCTTTTTCTCCCTTGGTAACCTTTGGAATTTGAACTGATGTAAATACTAATCTGTCTCACTTCCATTACCAGAGATTCTGTGAATTATTTATTTTGTAAGATAAGACTAATATTTGAAAGCAACCAAACTACCTGCTACTATGTGCAATTGCAAGAAGCAAATCATATTCTTCATTACTTCGTATAGTTAGAACTGCAAACGGTTGTTTTCATGTGCATCCCTAAAATGAAGCTGTGGCATTAGCACGGGCACTGTACTAGTGTTAGAAAGGCAGCAAGCAAGATTATTTGCATGTCAACAAACTTCACTTGGTTGTTCACATGATTCACCAAACTTCCATCACAGTCAAAAATTCAAACTTGCATAGAAAATCAAGTAAAACAACAGTAAATCTTGTTTGGGAGGCCACACCGGAAAGGGCAGTTATAGGATTCAGTCTATTCATGACTGGAGACAGCTTCCACTGGATTTGCTTCTTTTGCGCTTGCATCACAGATTCAAAGGAGCAGGAAACCCCTCGGACAAACAGTTGATTATCGTGTCCCCCTTTAACATTGTCTGCATCGGTAATGTACCTGATGACAGCTCCCTCAGCCTCTCCTTAAAGTCCTCCATGTTCTTCACCTGCTCCATCTTATGCACGTCTCTCTGCACAATAGCATGAACCAAGGAAATCGCAGAGTAGGTGGCCTCAGGAGTAACCGGGCGAGTTCCCTCTTCAGCCATGATGATATTCACCAGTTCCATAGCTTTATCACACATTTTATCCACCACGTGCAGATCTTTCGGCAGACAATCAAGCAGAAGCAGCACCTCGTCACTGACCATGAGGTATTCCAGCAGGGCATCAGGCACGTTATAAGATTGAGCATTTATCTTTCCTTCCTCATCTGCACAGAGTCCACGGATTGCAGTGACAGCCTCCTTCCTTACAACAACATCCTCAATCCTGAGCAGATCCCGGAGCATTTCCATCCCACCAATATCGAGTAACCTTTTCCTAAACATGTCAAACTCTGACAGGATGGCAACTATCGAAGCTACCTTTGCCAAATGTGATGCTGGACTTCCATATTTATGTAGCTTATGGGTGATCTTCAGAAGACCAGGGAGTTGGTTCGCTCCAGCTAGGATCTCCCTGTTTGGCCGGTGAACAGACAAATTAAGGATTACTCCGAGCCTCTGTTCCTCCAGCTCCTGTGACCATGTCGACTTCCAATTCTTCTGAAGATCTATCAGCTCTGGAAGCAGCCCTGCCCACTTGTGAAGGCAAGGTTGCTCTCCCTTGGTTGTTTTGGAGAGTAGCTGAATCTCGTGCAAAGCCTGCTCCTGCATCACTGAATGCCCTGACAATTTTTGTAAGATAGCTTGGATTTGCTCCTCTGAAGGTGCCACAGGGATGGAGAGTGTATCAGCCTTGTTAGATGAAGAACGGGCCATGTGATCAAGACGCCATGCAGCAATCATATCACGGAGGAGGTGGTTTGGAGCAGTGAAAGTGTGGGATAAAGTCACCTTAGTACTTGGACAGACGTTCGGTGAACAGAACAACCGATGGTACAATTGATCAGAAGACTGCAAGTAATCAGGCAAAAAAATTGGTTTACTTGATCAAATTAATCAGTGGGAAAACTCAGAAGATAGCTAACCAGTTGTTCCAGAAATTAACATAGAATACTACAGCAAAGAGTTTGGAACAAAAGATACCACCTTTGTTGGCAGAATAAACTGATATATGTATGTAATGTAACCTATAGTGGAACCCTAAACATATCCAATCTTTTCCTCGATGTACAACATCAACACTTCAGAAAGTAATAAAATTACTAATTGCATATGGAAATAAAAGACATAAAGACCACAAGTTTCTTTTAGCTCTCGTGACATAATTTTCATTTTAGTTTGTTAGAAATAAGTGCCATATTTTTTCTACTGTCAGAAACAAGATGCCCTAATAACAAGAACCACAAGTAACATCCTGAGATGTGTTAAAGGGATAATCATTTTGAACAGTTCTTTAATCATAATATCATGAGACTGATCACGATACGTCACGTTGAAAAACAAAAACAGTCACAAACAAGCACTAAATTATAATCTGCATCAAACTGAGAATAGGAAGTGCATGATAGGTAGATGCCTACAAAGTGGTGAATAAGCAGGGTGCCCTAGTGCACTACCTACTAGAATGCAACAACAGGTTTGCTGTTTCAGTCAGTGAGGAAGCAGTGGAGATGCCTTACTCTCAAAAAAAGTGTATGCATGGACTACACCAGAAAATTGAATTGCCATACAACTCCTTAATCACTTCATTTTTTCCCAAATCTCCAACTAAAAGCAAGATGTGTTGTTTCAAAACAGATTGGTTTCTATGTTACTAACCAAGTCAAATAACAAGTTTGAAGTCTAATTTTAGTTTTGGTTATTAGATATTTACATCACAGACAGAGTTGGATAGTGCAATCAAGTTAAATAACATCTATCCCCACATCCAGTATCATTTATCAGGATGTTTCCAGCAAAAATGAGTCATGAAAAGCAAAAATGATGAGTCGCAATGCAATTGTGTTTAGCTAACTAATGTTCAGAGGTGGGTACTTACATATCCAGACGCCAATATGACCGGATCGTCCATTACTCCACTCAGTCCACTGTGCGAGCTATCAGCCTAGAACACAGTGTAATTATGGGATAAGTAATTATCAAGAAGTCGAGATGATTCAATCAGTTTGTTTGAGCCTTTGAGGCAACTCCTCACATGACTTATTTGAGATGAAGCAAACTTTTAATCATGAAGAGTTGGACTGTATTTCGAACTGGATATGTCGATCAAATGCTAAGACTTTCTAAACAAGTGAAACATAAATCCATAAATTATCAGAAGAGGACAAGAGATTTGTTCATGCACAGCAGGCAGTGCTTCCACAAAATTAAAGTATTAATCTCACCCAGGGACCAATGCGTACAGAAATATGCCATCAAGAAGCAGAAAGAACCATGAAGGGATAGATTAAACAAGGCATCCAAGGAATTCAAGAACTCGATCAGACACAGAGTTGGAAGGCTGGATAAAAATCCCAAGAAGTCAGATATGCGGTGGACTTACATCATCGTACGGGAATCTGGTAGCGAACTCGCGAGGCAGCTCCGGTGGATTTTGGAGCTCTGCTGTCCCATACGTGAGCTCCATGAGGCCGGTGATCGCCTCCTCCATCTTGCCGAAGACGGCCCGCTCTTGGTCGTGGTCGTGGGTGCCCTCCTGGATCTTCGCCAATGCGCTTCGCATCGTCGCACCGTAACCAGACCTCGTGTGGGCCGCTTGGTCCTGCTCCAGCCTGGCTTCTTCCTCGCTACCGGTTCTTGTTGGCCCCTGGCGCACCGACCCTGACGTACCGGGAACGTCAGACGACGACGCCTGTCCCCGATGTAGGCTTCTTGGCGACGACCTCGGTGTCAGCAGGGTGTGGTCGGAGGGGCTCGCAGCGACAGCAAGAACCCTCCTGCCTGCCCCCTGGCGTCCCCGTTGTGGGCTTCTTGGCGGCGACCTCCGTGTCGGCAAAGTGTGGTCGGAGGGTCTCGTAGAGACAGCAAGAACCCTCCTGGCTACCCCGCGCACCAAACTTGACGGCGATGACGGCCAACATCCTGACGGCGGCTGCTGGGCGGAGGAGGCCCGGGCGTTCTCTTGAATAATCTCCCCCTCGATGGCGCTGCGTAGCTCGTCCTCCAAGGTCTCGTCCGCCGAGCTGGTGTGGCTGGAACGACGCAGCGACATTGCTGCTTCTTGGGACCGGTGGAGTTCTTGGGTTCTTGCGGGGTCGCGAGGTGGCTTCTTGCTTTGAGTTTTGGAGGGAACGCGTGATGCGTTGAGGCGCAGTTATATAACTAACTGACTGCAGTCTTCAGGGGCTATCCCTGGCCTTCCTCTTTTCTTTTTATAATGACGAGGCCTCTGGGCTCGCGAGGGCGTTGAGACTCGCAAATCACGATCACGATGAAGCCCAAGCAGCTGATGGACTTGCCTGTCTGATAGCCCTGGCGTTTTATCACAAGCCCTGCTGATATCCAATTCAGCATCCGGCTGGAAACAATGGTCTGTGGCGTCTGCCCAGAAATGCAGACATCACTGCTTTGGTTGTTCTCGATTTGATCTCAGGAACTTTTTCGACCGGTTGTTGATATCTCTGGCTGACCGTCCAACGAGTGAAGATTACAGCCACTGCTGACAATTTCATTTTCTCAAATAACAACCACTGGGATTCATGTCTGCGACACGGTATGAACCAGCTTGCTGAATGCGTCAACCGTCAATGTGGTCATGTTTCAAGCTCCTAGATGCAGGCCGGCCGAAGATGCTATGGGGGAGCTAGGCACTGCTGGCATCGGTCTACTATGCTGCATGCCTGCATGACTGAGCCACTCCAATTCCATTTGCAGCATCATAGCCCGGTGTCCTCAGCACGACAATGGAAAGCCGTATGCATATCTGAAACAGTCGCGAGACAACCAAGGTCCATGGACCTTGGCCTCTGCTCCTTGGTTGGCATTTCATCGAGCATGTCCGATTCCAGCCGCGCATGATGCCCAAAGCCCCGCCTACTTCATGCCAAGCCGCCGAGGCTGCACCTGAAGCAGGAGAGCTGAGATCCCTTGACTTAGCATTTGGTCGAGCACCAGACATGCCTCGCTCGCTCCGACTCTGTCCCTCACCGCGCCAACCGTCATCCTTCACGAGCTCGAGGCGGAGGATGCCCTCCAGACCTCGGCATGGATTCTCTCTATAAGGTATCTGGATCCACTGCCGCCGGCAGAGACGGAGCGCATGCATTGCCCCTCTCCCGCCACCGCCGCCACCCACGCGCCATGGCCGGGCACTCGGTAGACTCTGCTTTGGTCCATGGGCGAGCAACGGGCAGACGAAAGCGTTCATTTCCCTTCACGAAGAAAAAGGCCTTGGGCTTTGTATTCCGTTTCAGGCCCTGCTGGGAGCCCAAACTGAAGTGAGCCGAAAATACCTATATAAACCTGTTGCTCAAAAAAAATATTATATATATAAACCTGAACAGGTGAAAATTGAATGAATTTTTCGTTGGGACAAAAGAGAAATATGATTATATGAACGCTGTAGACAAACACGTAAAAATGGTTTCCATATACAAGTAATAATGTAAGTAGAGAAGGTAGAATATAAATTGATTTTTTTCACCTACATGTTATTAAAAAGACCTAAATATGAGATTTTCGCCAAGATTTATGATTTAGGATGCCGAGTATATGGAAAGTCAATTGTTTTACAGCCTCAACACATGTTTTTGTTTTTGTTTTTGTTTTTGTTTTTTGCTTATGCCAGTTGGTTTACATTGAAATTACATTTATTGCAACCAAGTTTTAGCTGTAATTTCTTTTTATTAACCATGGTGATATACTAAAATTAGGGTCTAATAAAACCTCTTACAGTCTGATATCACATGGTTTGTTTCGTCGTTACAAATTGGAACACTTGTTTCTCGTCGTAGACGTTTGACGCACCTCACCTGTCAGCAGCTGGCACTACGAAAGAAAAGCGCGTGCCATGCATCGTCATCCACACCGCCTTTCCGACTTGCGTGTACCACAAAACATCTCCCGAAATTAAAGGAAACGCACATGACATGCCCATGTGTCCGTCCGTCCGGACCCGGAGCTTGAATCTGAGGCCAAGCACGACACGTACGGTGGTTGCTGATTTCTGGTTAGGTTAGCTTGAGGCCTCGTTCGGCAGCTGGGATCCAATCCAGGCCTGGAATTAGTTGATCCACTTGTTGTCGCTTATTCCATGCCTTGGTTTCATTCCCCAGCAGAACCAATCCAGAAGGCTCCTATTTGTTGTTCGCTTTGGTCAGAGATGAATCTAGGGCTGCTGATAGCATGTTCACATATCCAGACATTTAACTAACACAACAAAATATGATCAAGCTTGAAACAATTCAAATTACCATGCAAAGCAAAACCCAACAGAAATTTCATGACCTGACAAACAGATGTAAGTGCTTGTCATCAACAAAAAAAAATGAGATTAATGTGCAGTACCAAAGCTACGGCAGGGTATCGAAGACCTGAATCCAAAACAAACACGAATGCCATTGAACTTGAACATAAATAATAAGCTGTAAGTCCCATTTAACCATGGTATATTGGTGCCTAACTATCGAACTACTACTAATCTACGAGAAACAGGAAGCAACTTCACAACGGTCACTCTTGTAGTGATAGACTTTTGTAACTCCCACTTGCTCCAGTAATTCAGTTCCAAATGGTGCAGGAGGGATCTACAAGTAACAAGAAAAGTTATTGTTTAAGAAAAAGTATTGCTAGATAAATAGTAACAAGTGGAATAGTTCATTGCATTGCACAGCTAGATTTGGACCTGCAGCTTTATTAATGATACTGACAAAGTCCTACAAGAGCAAGAGTGGACAGCTAGACTACGTCTACTTGCAAGGTCCAACTGCAGACATCATTTACACATACTTACTCCCTGAGATAGTGTACATAAGCATGCTCATGAGATAATTTGTGGCGACTTTTGGCATGCACAGCATGATCATGATCATGAATCGCCTCAATTGAAACTCACTTTGTGACCAACCACATCGTAGAATTGAGAAACAAAAATAGAATCGCTAATCAAAATAGAGAGATAAAAAAACTACAAATATAGTATATCAAAATAACATGAATAATTGACGGGAACTAGCCTTGCTCTGAACTACCTTAGCTGAGAGTGAGATACTGGACCATTCGCCTCACCAGTGTGATTTGTAAAAACTCTACTGGTCGGCCTATTAGTTTGGTTGACAGTTCAAGTCCTGCCCTTAAATAATCCTAGCACTAGTAGGCACACAGCTGCATATAACTCCTGCTCCTGTTATATTCATGCAACCGGCTATAGAGGTGATAATTGAGTATTTGAAATAACTTTACTACTGCAGTCACTACTACTTCTCGGTAACTGGCTTCCATAACAGCAATGTTACCGGTTTGCTAGTAACCAAATAACAACGGAATTGAGAAGAGACAAGCATATAGCATAAACCAAGTCCACGCCTGAAATTCAAAGTTTTTATTAAGACTAACACACTTGTTAAAAAAATATAATATTAAGATGTTGCAAGCAGCAGCATAAGCTTATGCCCACCCCATTATCCTGATAAAAAGACAGTAGGAAGGATTTTAGAGTTTTAAACTGATTTGAGCATTTCAGAGTTTTAGACTGATTTGAGCTGCTTTTGCATGCCATTTGACAAATCAAGACATCATCTAGATAATGATACAAGTAACAAGAAATCATCTGGAGAAACTGAATAACCAACTAGCGCTGAACAAACAACACAAAAAATTCAGTAACTAAACCCACCATTATATTTGAGTAATTCTAGTGAGATCATTGAAAATCTGAGACAATAACACTACTGCATACAGGAACAGTTCTTATAGCAGTCAAAATAATACTAAGAAAACCTCATGGTGTAGCTACAATACAAATGGTCAAAATAATACTAAGAATACTAATACTAGAACAAAAGCACATTGAACAACTTAGAAGTGCCTTTTTTTAGAAATAAAGTGAGCTAATAGAAACAATATGTTCATGTTGCAGGTTATTTCAGTATTATTCACAAACAATGAAGCACCATCCTTATGCATTTCAATTTATGATAAACAAACAAATGAACAAAGATACAACAACCATGGAGCTGTTATTTTTCAGAGTTGCAGTTTTCAAAATTCTTCTCATTATTAGTTTCAGTAATGAGAACTGATACATGGTAACTTTTTGCAATACATAACAGGAATTTTTTGAATACAATACCAGTATTTCTAGTTCTACTACATGCTATAATCGCTGATTTCTCACAGTTCCTTTTATCGGTTACGCGCATTCGCAAAAAAAGGAGCAAATCAAAATAATAAGCTTGTAATGTGAATTCTCAGAAGGAGCAGAGGTGTAGCTCCATATATAATTGCATTGGCTGACTACCCTACTTTTCCAAGGTTTTCCAATAGTTTTCCATAAAAGTGCAGCACGTTGTTTTTTCTAACAGAACGTCACGAGCAAGCTAGCACATCCCCACAGCAGTCCAGAAACATCAATTTGGAAGCAACAATCATAGAGAATGTGGAAATGCTACAATCGATAAGAGCACAAAAATAAACACCAGAAGTCCAGAAATACATCCCAATCGTCACTAACTAGGTATTTCACTACTAGTAACACTACTAGTACTCATGTTCAGAAACGAGATTATCAATCATCACCCATCCAAGAAACTGCAGCCTGGGGTTGCTTTAGAGCAAATGACGTCTCACAAAGATCATCAATTTGGATCTAGCGAATCAACAGGTTTCGAGGACAGTAGTGCCAAATAGACTAGTTTCAGAAGTTGGCACCTAGTAGCAGGTTCTAATTAGTGCTTGGGAAAAGAAGCTAGTAAGGTAGGAGTAGAAAATAGATACAGTAGAACCGAGCGACGGCTCCCAAAGTGCTTGGGAAAAGAAGCTAGTAAGCTCTGGCTCTCCCCTGTACACTGAATATTCTCATGAACTTGGATGAAGACATGTAATTCAGTAGCAACGATTCCTAAAGCACAAGCAGTGTGGTGTGCATCGCCGTCGCCGCCGGACAGGAAAGCTGCGAGCTGCTTCTTATAATGGAAATACTAGCAAGGAGAAAAGGAACAAACACAAGAGGGGAAGCACTCGTAGGCGTAGTGTAGCAACAAGGGATTGGGTATA